TCTGATGATTGGCTAGTTGAGAAGGCGCGTATAGAGGTGTTCATTACTTCAGGTCTATGAACTATTTTTAATTTCTGTTATGGTGCTCTTTTATGAAACTCTCAATTTTAGAAATTGGCATATAATCGCAAGAATAATTGCTTTAATGATTAGTGGCACATCATCATTATTATTATATGACCTTTAACTGAGGCACTAACATTTTTGACATTATGATTGATCTTGAACATTGTAACTCTTTTATCAAATGATTTGACGAGATTAAATCAATCAGCGACACACTAAATGTAAAACTTAAAACTAGACAAAAATGTAACTTTAGATTGGTATATATATGTTCAATATAGTAGATCTATCAGGTAATAGCTTAACTAGACTCTTTGTACAGCTATGAGACACAGGTCCCACATTTTCAAGAGACTATTTTTTCTTGAAGGAGTGGGCTGGGAAGAAAGTGTTCTTACTCATATTAAATTTTAAAAGAAAGCCATTATCGTCAGAGTTTTTCTTTACGATTCAAACTCAAGTTGAATTACCGATGTTCATGATGACGGAACAGAAGCCGCACAAAACAAGTTTTTGTTCAAACCCAAAAAGTTGGTTTGTGCTTCTATCAAAAAGATGTGACATGCTTTGAAAAGTTCACGAAGCTATGAAATCGAAAAATGTGTATATACTTTTGTATATAGTACTTGTGTACATACATATATTTATCTCATTTATCCATATATATTCAAGGAAGTTGTGTATATCCAGAAAACCATGCATACAGCTATAATGCAGTGCTTTTTTTCATTACTATACACAAGCTTCTACTAATTTCCGTGCTTCACTGCAATGCTCGCTTAGTCGCACTTTTAAGAGCTTTGGTGACGCAGTGTTCCACCTCATAGAACACCCACAGAATTGAAACAAGTGCAATTTTTACAAAATTTTATCTGTATACTCCTTTAGGCCTAAACAACGTTTATTGTTGAAACACCGACTTTAAAGTGTTGTGCACCACAAAGGGTTACATCAGGTCTGTGAACTATTTTTAATTCCCATTATGGAGCTCTTTTATGAAACTCTCCTTTTTAGAAATTGGCATATAATCGCAAGAATAGTTGCTCTGATGATTAGTGGCACACCATCATTATTATTATATGACCTTTAACTGAGGCATTAAGATTTTTGACATTATGATTGATCTTGAACATTGATACTCTTTTATCAAATGATTTGACGAGATTAAATCAATGAGCAACAGAAACACGCTAAATGAAAGAGGGCTGGGAATAAAATGTTCTTATTCATATTAAATTTTAAAAGAAAGCCATTATGATCAGTGTTTTTCTTTACGATTCAAACTCAAGTTGAATTACAGATGTTCATTGCCTTATTTTTTGTTTCTTTCCATTCTTGCACTTGCGTGTTGGGATACTCTTATTAAATATCGTAATAGTGAGTGGGGACAAATATAAATTTTGAGAGAAATAATCGACATAGTCTGTATTCATCTAAGGACAGACCTTATGAGTTATCTTCCCAGTATATTCAATTAAATCCTTGCGATCCATTGATGTCTATTGGAACAGCAGGAGGTGGACATATGTTTTTGTAAGATACATAAAAATGTTTTGTTTTCTTACGATTATCTTTATCTAATCAGAAGTATTATTATAAACTTTTAGTTTTATGAAATTTGATATTGGTTATTTGCTTATTTGATATGAAATTTTAAAATTTTTACAGAATCATACGGTGTCCCCGGGATCATCGAGGAAAAAACAACGCAAGGCGAAAATATCATCGCACAAAACATAGTAGGAGAAAAAAAGGCAATTAAAAAACAACACAGCTAATATTCTTCGTTCTTCCCTGCGCTTGCAAATCATTATACGAATATGCACTTGCAATTTTCAAGCCTGAAAATCATATGTCTGCGATGTTATCATCATGCAATGATTTGTAGGTGCTCTTTTTTTTTACCATGATTTATTTTATGACGATGTTTTAAAACTGCAATATTTCTGAATCGCTTTTTTTTTCGAAGACGATGTTTTGTACCACGATATTTTAAAACTTCGATGTTTTTTTTACTTTCCCTATTTTCTCCCACGATATTTCTTGCTACAATGTTTTTTTTAGTCTTGCATTACTTTTTCCGCGATGTTTTCACCTGTAGCTAGTTATAAATAATCCTATTATTATATGTATAACTAATATGCGGTACAGATTTTAGTACAAATTAAAGGCTATTTATAAAAAATGCTGCTGTTATTTAGTAATTACATCATGTAAACATTTGTCTTTTATCATTAGTAAATGATAGCAGTTAGAGCAAAAAGTACAATATTTGATAAGTTTATCATTTATTTCATTAAAAGCATTATTTTAATTTCATTAAAGTTATTAATTTCATTAAAATAATGCACCGCGTCTAAAGAACCGCATGGCATCAGGAAAGAAATACGATTTCACTTAGATACATGTTAGTATAGGTAACCAATATAAAATAACTAGAGCGTAAAATGAAATCCGTTGCATCACCACAAAAAGAAAAAAAATAGTCTTAAGATAACTTTGGGTACTAAAATACCTTCTCGAGAAATTATACTCGAAATGCGTAATATTTAACATTTTGATTAGAATAATTTTCACATTTTGATTAGAATTTTCACTTTCTTTTGAAAGTGAAACCACTCGCTGGAGAATAGGCAGGTCTATCTTATTTCAAATGCTTTTTAAAACCATATCCAAGCTTATCCTCATTTCACTTTTTGTTTTAAATTACAAACTTTAGAAAGTTTTGTTTTTTCAGTTAAATCTTTTCTTTTAAAAAGATAAGAATAGCACGATGATAGACCGAATATTTTTGACAGATCAAGATTAACTACCTTAGGAGATTGTTTCTTTAAGAACTTTTGCCATCTTTAGTGATGGTAAAAAATGGTAGTCATACATTAGTCACATAAGTTAAAATCGCAAGTTGTATGACCTGAAAAAACGTATCAATTAATCAATTAAACTACTTTTAGAGTACGAGGAACAGAAAAGTAATGAGAAGGAAAACATAAAAATTTACGTAGATAAAGATGTATTTCATTCAACATGATTTCAAAACAAGCTGAAATTATGTAAAATGCAATGATAAAGAAAAAAGGAGACGCAGATTTTTTGTACTTAAAATGTCAGTGATAAGAAATTTATCAGAATTTGATTATTAACTAAGAAAATTTAAAACGTTAATAAGTTAATTTTGATACTGAGGTTCCGATGTGTATATAAATACTTCCAATGAATCTTTTTTAATGATGCTCTTTCCCTTATTTGTTTATGTTTCGGTTATATTATTTTTTCTTCTAAACTTTTATTAGAAACATCATCATCAACATATTGCAGAAGAGATTAGTGCAGAATATTTATGAGTCCCTTTTCAGTATGTCAGATAGTTTCTGCATTTATAACCTCTTCTATCGATTACGGAGTTGAAATATTCATAATATATGCCAATTAGTTATATTATAAATTAAATTAATTTTAATTTATATCCAACACGTGTGTTATTAAAAAGCTTAACTAAGTATTTAAAGTAATATAAACTGAGTCTATTCTTTTGAATTCTCTTATTTGCCTGTTTTGAATTCCCTGCTTTAATTTCAGAGATCGATTTAAAATGTGAGAGCAAAATAATGACCTCAAAAAACAACTTCATAGCGACATATTAATATTCGTTTACATGTAAAATAACTTAGAAGATAAATTAAAGCTATTTTGTTTTGCTCAGTGGAAACACTCCTTAAAGATTGTTTCTGAATTCTTTTTGGATTACATCACCCATCAAATTTGCCAAAAAAGGGGTTTAATACAGAATGTTCACTAAAGTCTGGTACCACCGTTTAACTACCGAACGGCTGCAGCTATATTCATAAAAATGGTGTCTAAGTACGGCGGAGGTATAGTCTCTAGCTCGAAAACGATAGGAGATGAGAAGAAAAAGTGAATTACGAATGCGTAGTGCATCGTCGATTTAGTACGAAAAGACACCCTGTGGATTGTTGAAAACAGAACGCTAAAAATGCACATTTGTTTCTTCGTGATATACGAAACTGTGACGTCACGAAATTTGAACGAAAGAAGAAAAGAATATCTTTCGGACGATAAACGAGCCCGAATAGAGCATAGTGTTATGACTTGTAATTCACAATCGAGAGAACGGTGGTTCAAACCCCACGGGGTGCACCTTGTACTGATTGTCTTTACAAAGAGAGTAGACAATATGCAGATCGTGCACAATCGTGTCGCAAAACGCATCATCTCAACGCAACTTGAGTTTGGTGTGCGAATTTGTGCATTATGCAAACAGTGTATGGAACGTCACATCTGTTCAACTGAGACAGCTATAAAAGAGATATTTCGTCGGGGTTGTATGTTAAAGCTAATGGTCATGGAGCGATTTTCAAAAATGGTTATTGTGAGCTTTACAGTGAATGTGGACGCAAGTCACTATTGGCAGAGCGGTTGTATCGGCAACGTTTCCCTGCAGGGCCGCATCCTTCTTACAAAACCATCTTACAGGTTGCGAAATTTTTAAGGGAGACAAGCTACTTTACTAGCCGACATCTATCCAGCAGACCAGCTAAGGTAGGGCAGAAAGTACAACCAGAAAATGTATTATCATACGCCCTACCATATCCAAACCGCAGTACAAAAGAGATAAGTGAAAACTGTTGCATCTCAAAAAGTCGAGTTTGGAAAATCCTAAATTAATAAGGTTTTCATTCATACCGGCCAACATCTAATCAGGCATTATTGCCGAGAGATATTTCGCATGGTGCAACTTCATCATGAACCAGACAGACATCTAGACAACATTCTTGGCGTATATAGTGTGGAAGAATGATGCATGCCTTTTGCGGAATGAAATCTACATTAAGCAAAACACCTATTGTTGGGCACGGGAAATTCCATCGTGTTCTACAAACGTTCGGCATCAAATACCGTTTTCAATTACTTACCTTCGGTTATAGAAAACGCTTCTATAGCGCAACTAGCATCATATAAAACAGAAAAAAACTGCAGAAGTTTATCTTTTCTCGTTATCGACGTTGCAATTTCTGATGACATTACCATGCTGTCAAAAAAGTTACAGACAACTGGACTATGTCTAATGTGACCGCATAGTAGGGATGCAGGAGGCAGACAGATTATAACGAGCAAACGAAGATCACCTGCGCGGTATGCACATGGCTGGGCAAAGGTGTTAGCAACAATGATTGCTGCAAGATACTCATTGGCAGAAACAAAGTTCTGGACGGAGAAGTTGCCCGAATGCGATCCGAATGATTACTGGGCACTCCCGTACTGCTTTAAGATGTTTGTCTTTAACCCCACAACATCGACAAAAGTCGTTTGGAGTGGTGTCGTAGCCGATCATCATGGCTGCCAGCTGAATTGCAGCGCCTAATGTTCAGCGATGAATCTCTCTTCAGTCCTGGAGTAGATAACCATCAGGTCCTTACAAGGAGGAGCCAGGACCAGCGGTCGCTATGAGCCTTTGCTTTACAGAGGCACACAGCCATTGCCCATCGTGTGATGATATCTCGTATGACAACAGGTCGACCCTAGTCATCCTGCATATAACTATTACAGATCAACGATATGTTGATGACATCTTGCGGCCTATTACATTACTCTTCATAGCCTGCTATCCTGGAGCCATTTTCCAACAACATAATGCTAACCGATCTATGAACTATCCGCGAAATGTTGACACGCTTCCTTGGCTAGCAGAGTGATCATACCTTTTTTCAGTCAAGCATGTGTGGCAAATGGTATGCAGTCAGATTAGGAGACTGCAAAGTGTCGCAGATCTGGAGAAACAATTGAAAAATGTCTGGCAGAATGTTTTGCAAGTCAAGATTAGGAATCTTAATCACGTCTTCCCTCAATGTTTGAAAGCACACATCACGGGGGTTTCACCAATTACCGATTTGAACATTCAGTGTACAACGGTTGTCACTGATGTGCCCTTGATTTTTTAATCGTTTCCTTTGTATGAGCTTTACGCATATATAGCTTCAATAAAACGGTCACTTTCTTCATGATGCTTCCTTTCTTTTTTTTTTTTTTTTTTTTTTTAAAGCGTATAGTTAAGCTTTCAATGTGAAATATATTCAGTACAAATGTCTAGTCAGATTTAGTTGCATGTTATATAATTCTATATTCACGAAACGTGACTATTACCATTGTAATATCTGGGGTACCTGGAGGCCTTAAAACAAATTCTCTACTTTTTTTGTTTTAAAATACGTTAGAAAAAGAGACTTAAAATTTTCTTGGACGAAAATATTACGTTTCATAAGAATACTTATATAAGTAGAAAGAATTTGTTTCTTACTATTTGCATTACGAAAGTTAAAATACTTTAATTAACTTAAAGAATACGTAATTAATAAATAATTTATTAATAATATACAATTATATGTAATAATAATTTATTACGCCATTAATAAATTAAATTTCAAGTATGTAGGGTAAAACTCTTTGCAATTTACTTCCTTTATTTTATACTTAAAAATACAAAAAATTATTTAAATTACACTATAAACTTTCACTTCTAAAAATTCATGCTTATATAATATTACATTTAGCTCTAAATAATTCTTTTAATTTTGTTTATTGATTCTTTTTATAACTGCATTTTAATGAAAGGAAGAGAATTATTCACAAAACTACTTAATTCCTTAGGTGAATTTAAGATGTTAGAGCATTTGAGTATGTTACCATATACTTACGATTACGTTTCAATATCTAATTATAATTCATAATTATACATTAGCAAACAACTTAAATATGCACTAACAAAAATTATTCTGTTACTATTCTCGTGTTTTTATCAATGGAAAACTATTTCCCTAAATTAAAATAATTATTGCTCTTTGTACCACTGATTTGGTAAAGTGTTATCATTGATTGGCACATTAAGTGTGACACAGATTCCCGACAAAAGAAATGGTAAACGAAGACTCAGTTCTTAACCTTCTTTTGTACTTAACCTTTTCACTTGCGGCATTGATTCTGTATCAGACTCTAGTATTCTACAAGAGTGACCCATTTTTTTTTCCCTTCTCTCCGAGATTTCAAAGAACAAACCTCGATATCGATCAATGAGGGACTTCTTTCTCACTGAACTTTGTCAAATCGCATTATTTTAGATTTTTCTTTACACAAAAACACCTTCTTTTTACCCTGTAATCTTATTATATTCAAGTACAGACAGAATGTTTGGGAAAAAACAGATGAAACTCTAACAAAAAAAGCTCCAAGCATCACAAGTGAAGACAAGTACAATAATTAAATATTTTGTTATTAAACTAACAATGTTTTTATGCATATCGCATGTGATTTAATTAAATATAATCATGACTAAGGTTTGAAAGATGTCAGAGTAAGTTAAAGAAAGTAGCATTTCCCGTTCCTCTACTCGAACATATTCGGAAACAGCCTCTTTATTTTAGATAAGTGGAAATCAGAGTAATAGATACGGGTAATGTAAGAGAAAAATCCCCGGAAATAAAGTAATCTTTATATTGAGCAAATCCATTAGTGAATATTTAGTATACATTGCTTTGCAGTTTTTAATTTAATAGCTGAAATGGGCCCAGAAGGTCTTATTTGAACAAAGGCTATTAGTCTTGAAACGGCTTTATATGTCGAAACACTATAAACGGTTGTACTACTTTTAAAATCGTTTCCACCAAATATTTTCGCACTTAAAGAAACTAAATAATGAAGAATCTACATGAAAGTATGTTTGTTTTTTGCATTGTGAAAAGTCAATTTGAGTCATCAAATTTTAAATATCATAATCTTCCACCCGAACACATGGCACCTGGAAGCACAAATTGGGAGTCTGGAATTCGCTTTATTGTCTGTTTCATATTTTGTAAAACTTTAACGAGTTTTTGATTAAACCACTCAGCAATTTCAAAGCGAGCAGTGGCAGCACTGTAGGAAATAAAGCATATTTATCTCTAGCGCTTGACTATCAACTGGAAATTATAAAAATATGCTATTTTTGAATGTTTTTAGGCGAAAGTGGCGTAAGCCCAAAAGTGTTTGCAGATAAGGTTTTATGTGTTCAAGAAAAGTCCCCTCTTTGTGCGAACAATTTAAAATAGTATATCACATTATCAATTTCAAATTTAATATATAGGTTTTATAACACCTGAAAACTATTGAAAACCACAAACCTAAGAAGTTGATGAATGAGCTATAATTTATATTTGAGTTGAGTTTATAAAAAGCATTTTAACAAAAAATGACAAAGATTAACATGCATTATATTTTAATATTAAAAGATTCATTACTTAGCTCATCTTGGGTCAGCTAGTAAGTAATTCTCAAACAAAGATATCTGTCAAATTTCAAGAATATAACATTAACCATTTTTAAAATATTCTGAGAGGGATCAGTGAAATACAATGTTCTGAGAAAATCAAGATTCAATGCATTTTTTTTAAACAAAAGCTTTTCGCGTTTTGAAATGTATAAAGTACTTATTTTATGACTGGTATCATAGTGATATAGAATTATTAATAGCTTGTATAAGCTAATTAATATAAAATAAGTTACATTCGCCAAAGTATAGGACTCACCAGCGGCCGAGCGGTAAAGTCGCTAAATACTGGTAGTTCCGTCTGAGGTTCGAATCTCGCGAACAGGTTGGCTGTATGGACGTTCTCGGGGTTTTTCGCATGTGTAACGTCTAGACGAGAAAGTTCTCCTTGGAAAGTCCTACATAAAGGCATCCCTCCCTTTAGTCTGATAGCCCTCGAAGCTTTGCTGTAATCACATAAACCAATACCCCCAAAGTATAACACGTTGATTAAAATGATTTGAAAATTGCACACAACGAATGATACAACTAAGATTTTTTTCTTGCAAGTAAGAACCTAATTATAAGCAATTGTTTCATTAAAAGTTGTTTTCATAAATCAAAATTTAAAGTGTATTACACGCATAAATTATTTAATATAGAGTACAAATGGTAACCTTAACACACTTTAAATTTTACACAACTGTAAACGCGTTATTGGAGGTGTCCTGAATAATACTGGCTAATAAATTCTGTTTTGATACTTCGTCAAGTGTCGTCGTTATTCTAACCCCAAATCTACGAAACCCGTACGGGCGTAAAGGAAGAGAAAAACGCAAAAATATATTTGTACGTACCAATTATTCACGGTCTTCCACAATTATCAAGTTCGCAGAACTAAAGAACGATTTTAATATTATCATAAGGGTCCACCAGCTGCCGAGCGGTAAAAGCCGCTGAACACTGGTAGTTCGGTCTGGGGTTCGAACCCCGGCGAACGCGCTGGCTGCATGGGCGTTTTCGTGGTTTTTGCCCGTGTGTAACGTGGATACGAGCCAGTTTCCCTTAAAAAGCCCTCCACGGGGCATCCCTCCCTTTCCGTGTAGTGCCTAAGGACGGAGCACGTAATAAATAAAAAAAAATATGATAAGCAGTCTTTGTTACCAAGAAGTCTTAAAAAAATCACTGAAATTGCAAAAGAAATTGTAAACAATCATACTTCGGACCCGAATAGCTTAGAAAACACAGCAACGAAAATACAAATTATAAAACAAGTGTTATAAAACGGGCATATAAAATCAGTGCAAAAAATGTGTGCAGGAAAATAAAATCAACTTTGATAGTTATTGAAGCTTAAACCCTTTGACAGCTCATCGCTGAGGTCATAGGCCTTTAAAAATCAGTGAAAAGTCGAATGACTGTTTCTTTATATTTAAACATAGAAACAAAACTATCGCAGCTATATTGGCGAGAGTTGCTGCAAAAGTAGCAAAAAATATTAGCTTTGAAAATGAGCTAAAATTTTAAAAATTGAGTTTTTTATAGTCTAAGGTGAATGAGACTCCTTAAAGCTAAAACATTTCTTTAGGAGTTCCAAGAAAAACATCAAAAGCGTTTTTCTTGGCTAAAAAACTAATTCTATTATTGAGAAATACAAGATGAGTTTTTGATATCAATATCAGAAATTTTATACGAATAGCTACCTTAAATTATTATTCTTGTTTCATTATACGTAAATGATCCATAAACGTAT